AAACAATCTTCTATTCTTATTATTGTTTGTACAAGCCGCCACAGTCATGTCATAGTTTCACTGATCATTTCACCGAGTTGCTTTCAGTTGTGTGCACAGACTTTGATAGTTTAGTCGTCATAGGTGATTTTAATATACATGTAGATAACGTTAATGATAGATGCGCGAAAGAGCTGAGCTCTGTGCTGGAAACCTTTGGTCTCACTCAACATGTGAGTGGCCCCACCCATAGCAGAGGACACACTCTCGATCTGCTAATTACTAAAGGGGTTAATATCTCAAATGTAAATGTGGCCAATGTTGCTCTGTCAGATCATTTCTGTGTATTTTTTGATATGTGTCTCAATAGTAAAGCACGAGCTGAATCCTCAATTGTTAGAAGAAGAAGACACATAAACAAAAATACAGGTGAACTTTTCATGGGGATGATAAACTTTGATAACACGTTGTGTTACTGTGGATGAATTACTTAACTCTGTCACCTCTAGTGTTTTGGATGTTCTGGACACGATTGCTCCTGTAAAGGTCAAAATTGTTACAAATAAGCAAAAGGCGCCATGGACAAAAGCAGACTCTGTCAGGGCACAGAAGAGAGAGTGCCGGAGAGCCGAGCGGAAGTGGCGAAAGTCAAATCTCCAAGTTGACCATGAGATCTTCAAAGATGCATTGTGCAAGTTCAACAGTGTGCTACGAAGAACGAGGGAAACTTATTTTTCCGAAACAATCGAAGGTTGTAGTGGCAATCTACGCGTTCTGTTCTCAACGGTAAATAAATTGACAAATCCCCCTGTTAAGATGCCATCAGAGCTTACCTCCAAAACCAAATGTAATGAGTTTGCAGAGTTTTTTAATGACAAAGTCCAAGGCATCAAAAATGCCATCACCTCCACAGTAGAAATTACAATCCAACACCCAGTGAAGCTTTTTGGGCTGACACACTTTGCACCAGTACAAAATGAAACTGTCCAAATGATAATTACAAGTCTGAGTTCTTCTACATGTAGCCTGGATGTATTACCTCCTAGATTTCTTAAATCTGTTCTGAGCAGTCTTTTACCTTCACTCACGCATATAGTAAATATGTCTCTTGAATCTGGAACATTCCCAATGGCCCTGAAAACGGCAGTCATCAGACCCCTCCTAAAAAAGAGGAGTCTGGATGCCTTGGCACTTAAAAGTTATCGGCCCATTTCAAATCTGCCTTTCATGGGTAAAATTCTAGAAAAAGTTGTCTATCAACAACTTACAGAATTTTTAATAATCAATCACTCTTTTGATATGTTCCAGTCTGGTTTTAGACCCCACCACAGCACAGAGACCGCTCTAGTGAAGGTAACAAATGACATCAGACTTAACACTGACGCAGGAAAAGTCTCAGTTCTTATCCTGTTAGATTTGAGTGCTGCTTTCGACACTGTCGATCATGGTATCCTCATTCAGAGACTTGAGGACTGGGTTGGTGTTTCTGGAACAGCCCTAAGCTGGTTTATATCCTACCTACAGGACAGAAAGTATTTTGTGGAGATCGGAAACTGTGTCTCAGACCATCTGGCCCTGACCTGCGGAGTGCCACAGGGCTCAATCCTGGGGCCTCTCCTGTTTAATATTTACATGCTGCCTCTGGGTAGGTTAATACACAGTAATAACGTGTCCTATCACAATTACGCTGACGATACTCAGGTCTATGTGTCCCTGACAGCAGGAGAACATGGACCAGTGGACTCGCTCCTTTCACTGTATCCAACAGATCAGTGATTGGATGCAAAATAACTTTCTCCAGCTAAACACAGAAAAAACTGAAATTATTGTTTTCGGACCTCAGAAACAAAGAGAGAGCGTTATCTGCCACCTCCAGTCTCTCTCCCTGAAACCCTCAACTCAGGTCAGAAATCTAGGAGTAATAATGGACTCAGACTTGAATTTCAATAGCCACATATCATCTGTGACATCATCAGCTTACTTCCACCTAAGAAACATTGCTAAAATTAAAAACATTGTGTCTAAAGCAGACTTGGAGATTCTTATCCACGCATTTGTCTCCAGTCGATTGGACTACTGCAATGGCTTGTTCACAGGTCTCTCTAAACAAGCGGTAAAACAGCTGCAGTACATCCAAAATGCTGCAGCTCGAGTCCTGACTAGAACCAGGAAGTACGACCACATTAGTCCGGTCCTCAGGTCTCTGCACTGGCTTCCTGTGGCTCAGAGAATAGATTTTAAAGTAGCTTTACTTGTGTACAAGTCTCTCCATGGCCTCGCACCAGGGTACATCCGCGACATGTTGGTGCCATATGAACCAACTCGGGCTCTGAGGAGCACAGGGACTGGACTTCTGTTAGTGCCAAGAGTCGGAACTAGACATGGGGAGGCTGCGTTTCAGATTCATGCAGCTAGAGTCTGGAACCGTCTTCCCGAGAGTGTGAGACAGGCGTCTACTCTGGCAGTTTTTAAAACTGAACTGAAAACAGTTCTTTTTAGCTGTGCATACAAGTGAATGATTTTACATTTGTTTTTATCTTTAATCTTTTTAATGCGCTATGATTATTTATGATTATTTATGATTGTAATCCCTTGTGTGATTTTAATTTTTTACGGTTTTTAACTACTTGTGTGATTTTATATATCTTGTGCTCTTAATCTGTCTTTTTATGTTTACTTAAATTCTAATGTTTGATGATTTATGCATGATGTTATATGGGTTGTGAGGCGCTTTGCGTTGCCTTGTGTAGGAAAGGCGCTCTATAAATAAACGTTGATTGATTGATTGATTGATCGATCTTTCTTTCCAAGATATAGACAGCACAACACGGTCTGAAGACTCTTTCTGTTGGGACAAAATCTACTATTTCAAGAATAATTATATGAAGTTATTATGTAAGGGATAACGTATATGATGCAAGTCATTATCGGAAAGTAAGTACCGACAGGGCGAAGCGGACCCCGACGAGCAGCGGAGGGTTCTGCTTCCGCCCTGACATGCGTCATATACGTTATCCCGCTTGTTAGACGGCTTTGTACCAACAGAACACACAACATAAACTTCAGTCCACTTTTTGAAATGCCGAAAGGTTTATTTAATGAAAGAAAATAAAATAGTTCCCAAAGGCTTTCCCGTGGCTATGCTAGCAACACTTAGGCTAGCAACTTCCAAACTAGAACTCCCTGGAACTGCATGAAAACTGAACAAAGAATTCTGAACCTCAGCAGTGAGTGACCCATACATAAACCTAACCTAAATCCATAATTTGATCCTCTGCAAATGTGTCCGAAAATGTGCCGGTATCTACTTCCAGGTTTTTCGGGATCGCATTTTCTCGCATTACATCAGTGTTTTTGTCATGAAAACGTAAACGGAAAATTCGGATAACTTCCGTGCATTAAGAATGTATATGTATAATGTATTCTCTGATTAACATTTCATCGCGTTGATTGATTGGCATTTGCGTTTATTGAGCGTGGCTAGCTCCGGAGTGGCCGGAACTACTTGCGGAGTTATCCACGCATCTGAAATACAAGCAGAGAGTGCGTTGCCATGGGCAGCGGTCATTATTGTTTTGAGAGGTCCGTTATAGAAAAGAATGACCGGTAGAACGTTTTGAAATTACATTCAAATCAATGGAGCGTTCTACTGCTGCTGTGAGGAGCTGTGTAATAATAGAAACTATTTCATATTCTAAAACCTGACATTTCAAAAGAGAATATTTGTAATTATTTTCTAAGAGCCAAATGCATAATATTAAAACAGATAAAAACAAACATGAATCTCAAATCTAATACATCATCTTGTACACGACTTATATTTAGCTTTGACATTTTCAGAGCTCTTTGAAACACCTCATCTTTTCCTTCAGTATTCTAAGCCGCCTCCTGCGCCAAAAAACCCCTCCGCTAATAACTCCTGTATTATTATCCGCCCGTTTTGTCCTCCTCCACAAAAGAGCCACTCAAGTTATGAAATTTTAATGAGGCGATCGTAACAAACACGGGGAGATGTCATTGAGCGGAGGTGGCCCTGTTCCGCCCGCTGCCATCTCACCTCCGCTGATAAAAATACCCTCCGTCCACAGAGATGCCCTTTGGAGTCTGTTTGCGGGAACATGGCAGAGAACAGCTTGTTTTTTTTGTGGCAGCAGCGAAATGACGGTGTAACAATTGTGATGAGGAAAAAGCAGAAATAGTTTCTTTTTTGAAGTGCAGATGTGGGAAGAGGAATGCACTGGATTTTCAAACAAAGCGTTGCACCGCGTTATGCGAAAGATTTTCGCGTTATTTAGATGTTTTCAATGGCTCCAACAGATATTTTTGATCTACTGGTTCAAAGAAAAGAGCGAACAAAAACATGAAAGAAGAAGCATTATACTTTTGAATGTGATGCTCGGTGTCACCGTTCTGCAATCCAGACAAACCTACTTTGTCTAGTAACGAACTAGGGAGGCACTGACTCTCGGTTTTGCTAGATAGTACGGTAAACAAATTACTTCAGTGCAGTTTTCATAGTGCAGTTGGGGGTAATGTATGTATTAATAATTAGATAAGTTGCTACGCCTCAAGTAGAAGCCGGTCTCACATTTATTTTGACGTCTATGATTGCTCGTAGCATTTCTGATCTGATTTTAAGTTTTTTTAGGTGAGAGATTGGAGGTGACAGATACTGTGCACTATTTTTTCACTTTCTAAAACCTGACATGACAAAGTAAATGGTCTCCTCATCATCTCGGTGAGGAATAAGGAGTATTGTTCCTTCATGTAGAAAAATCTGCACAGCTATGTTACTCCCAAGAATCTTTTATTTACAGACCGCAATATTCACGTTTCAGGTTGAGGCCCTTCATCAGATAAATAAAAGATTCTTGGGAGCAACCTCGCTGTGTAGATTTTTTTTATCTAGGGCGCTAGTCAAGGCTACTGGGATGTGCCGGCCTTATTTGGATCCTTCTTCATGTGGCCCATCAAACACAATTACTATAAAACACGTGTTCTTCTCATCTGTTTGTGTGCAGTGCCGGCCGCCCTGACGCTGGACCCCATCACGGCGCACCAAAGACTTATCCTATCCGACGACTGCACCATCGTGGCGTACGGGAACCTCCACCCGCAGCCGCTGCAGGACTCCCCGCGCCGCTTCGACGTGGAGGTGAGCGTGCTGGGGGCCGAGGGCTTCAGCGGCGGCGTGCACTACTGGGAGGTGATGGTGTCGGAGAAAACCCAGTGGATGATCGGCGTGGCCAACGAGACCGTCAGCCGCAAGGGGAGCATCCAGATCCAGCCGGGACGCGGGTTCTACTGTATAGTGATGCACGACGGCAACCAGTACAGCGCCTGCACCGAGCCCTGGACGCGCCTCAACGTCAAGTCCAAGCTGGAGAAGGTGGGCGTGTACTTGGACTACCACAAAGGTCTGCTCATCTTCTACAACGCCGACGACATGTCCTGGCTCTACACCTACCGAGAGAAGTTCCCCGCGAAAGTCTTCCCCTACTTCAGCCCGGGCCAGAGCCACGCCAACGGCAAGAACGTACAACCTCTACGCATAAACACGGTCCGTCTTTAATCCACAAAGGAATGGTGGATGAATCGCCCGGAGGGATAGGTTGTGTCCAGATTTCTCGCAAAAACTTTAAAACTTCCAGAGAGTTCCAAACTTCTCAATTCATTTTTCTGGCAAACTTGTCATATTGGTGTTACGGGATAAAAGTCTAAAACTGTCTTTAATCAAGAAGTGAATGGTGATTGATGAACTAATATACTGGAGGGATAGGTTGTGTAAATGTTCCGTTGAGTTGCAAACTTCTGATGTCGCTATATTTTGTCATTTGGCTTCATAAACTCGTCTTCAACTGTCTGGAATCGAGCAGGAAATGGTGATCAGGTGAATGAACAGGCCTGAGCAATAGGTTCCGATATCTCACAAACTTTATATGTTCCATAGAGTTGCAAACTTCTAATGTCAATGTGTTTTTGTAGATTATAGTTCGACAAGTTTGTAAAGCAAAATGAATTGAAAAGCAAATGATGAAGAATAGGTTGCGTTCAGATTTCTCTCAAAAAACTGACACTTCCGTAGAGTTGAAACCTTCTGATGTCATTCTTTGCTTTAGATTGGCTGTTCTATCTTCTTGTATTTGTCTTTAAGTCTTTGAACTTTAAGACCGGGCTTTACGTTTTTGAACCGTCTTAAATCGAAAAAAGTGATCACTGAACGAATATGAAACGGCACAACCTAAAATATGAAATGACAAAGTGAATATATCTCATCAGTTGTAATGGAAAAAAATGCATTTCTTTTAAATGATTGATCCAAACTTGAGCAAACCTATGAAGCTCCCACTGCATTATGTACTGTAACTCTATGGAGGAAATACAGTTTTTGAAAGAATTCTGCAGCCTGCTTTTGAACCGTCTCAATATTTCCTGTCAATTGGCTTTGAAAAGACTAATTTCACAGCTAAAAGTTCTTTTCAAAGTGTTTAGGTTTTGATCATGGCACCACTTTCTAAAATGTTTGTTTAAAGTTTATTTACGCTGACATAGACATTAAACTCGGTGCCAGTTTTTACTTCAAGTTCAGCAATTATAGATTTTGGCCAAGACCCGAATACCACGTTGTTGGATTCTTTGGATTTCGTTGTTTAAAGTTGTGATCTTGAATTGTGGTAAGACTCAGACAATCTTTAAATGGTCTGAATGAATTGTTTACTTTTTTCAAAGTTAAAACAACGGGGCAGCTCTTTCGTTTTGCAGTGACCTGGTGCAGGGAATATTTTACTTTTGCTGTTAATTTTGTGTCTTTGAAAGTCAATGGAACAGTGCAACCAAGTGTAGACAACGGTTAAATTCACCTCTCAAATTAAAGCTGCGCTATGTAACTTTCCTGGTGAAACTACCGCCATCTGCTTATCACCTTTTTAAGAGGTAATTTCTTTGCACAGTACAACATTACTCAAGTCCATTCCATTGTAGATGATGTGCTTCTCCTTCCATGAGTGGACTTGCCCCTCCACAGAACTGGACTGGAACTGGACTGATGCCACAATAGAACATGGACCAAGACGAAAAAGTTTAGTCCATGGACCTAGATGAAGTCCAGGAAAGGTGGAGAATCTTACGAAATTATTGAATCCTAGGGCTGCACGATTTGACAATTTTTCTGATTGAAATTGTGAAGCCATTTGGGCCTCTTTCATTTGGAAAACGCCCACAAAAACGTGAAAATATGAGTTAAAATATGAGTTAAAATGTTTGAACCAAGTAGTTTTTGACTATTTTTGAGATTAAATTTGTAAGTTTATCTGCAACAAAACATTCCAGGCTTGTTTATAGTATGACATTCCAACCTTAATTTATGTTTTGTTTTTAACGTCATTTTGCAGATGTTTCTGAATTTCAAGCAACTTTAATTTTGAGTTCACTGAAAATGCGATTAATCTTTGCAGCCCTGTTGGATACATTTGATCATAAACTAGTAATAGAAAGAAAAGAGTTGCTTTTAGCGCAAGGGAAAGTAAACAATTGCCAACTGCACAATCGCATGAACTAAATATGAAAATGTTGAGGTTCAGACAGCGGTGCGTTTTGTATTCTTAAAGCTGGGGTACCCAACTTTATTGTGTTTGACTTGTACAAGACTGTTGGGACAAATGTTGTGAGAAAATCAGACCACAACATGCTGTCTTTATCCTGTTAGAAAACATGTTATATTTTGTGTGAGAAAGAGCCACATGCGTCACTATTTAATCGTATAGGCTGAGAGCTGATTGGCCGAGTGAGGATGGTTCTTTGTTACTTTTTGTCTGAAAAAACGGATCTAAATATGTAGACGGAGGCCAGACACAGGCCCAAAACTAGAGATGGAACAAAAGTTTTTTTAAAGTGAGGAATCAATTGGATGAATTATATTTCTTAGATTACTGTAGTTCAGCAGTTTTGTAGTTTCAAAGTTTGGTTCCCCAGCTTTAAGTAAGTAAAGTTTATTTGTATAGCGCTTCACAATTTTTTAAAACGTACAAAGGAAAATAATACACATACAAATGCATTCTCAGAGCACTATTTGGCAATGGAACTAGCAGCTGTGGTCTTAACAGAGTCTGGTTTTTGCACCGGTCCCTACAGTCCCCACAGTCCCCCACGGTCCCTACAGTCCCCACAGTCCCCCACAGTCCCTACAGTCCCCACAGTCCCCACAGTCCCCACAGTCCCGGGCTTGTTCCTCAGTCTTATCCAGGTCGCTCCAAACTTCCTCTTATCAGACTTTGGGACGCTACTATCTTTGTCGTGCAATCGCCTTATCTCCGTCTGCGGAACGTGACGGCACTTGACTCCTTCCCAAACACTTTTTGACTTGTACAAAGGGACGGAGGGGGAACAAAAACTTTGGACTTTTTACCCAAGACGTCAAGTGGATTTCCCCGTGTGAGAAGCGGCGGCCGTGCTCTTCCCCCCGTCACCTATAGACGTTTTAATATAACACGATTTAATGTTATTGGATCCACTGCCGCTTTGATTTGGGGGTGGAGGGTGTGGGAAAGTGCTGCTACAGGTGGTGATGGGACCTGCATGTTTGTACATATGTGTGAAGAGGGAAGAGTTGTGTTGCGTTTTTTTTTTTTTTTTTATGACGCAGATTGATGCTTAACTTGTTGTTTTAAGTTAAAGAACAACAGTATGCATTTTTTGTGTTTTTGTTTTGGTAGGGTATAAATATGATGTGTGAGTGTTTTGATATTCATTTAAAAAAATAAGATAGCATTGTATGGGAACGTTTTATGCTGCTCATTACAATCTTCAACACAATTGGTTTTTTTGCAGAATATTTAAAGGCAAAAATTGACAAAGTAGTATGTCAAACAATAATTTTCTTCATAGAGGGCAAAACTTTATATTATTGAATTAAACAATATCTGGCTTTTGAAAAATACTGCTTGGTCAAAAGAAAGCTGCAAATGGTCTTTTTGGAGTTTTGTGTTTTTGAATGTTCCCGTAAATTCCTGGGCCGCTTTGCACAAACCGAACTTCTGAAATCTCTCGGGGGAATTTAAATAGGAAGCGGTTTTATTGGACAAGACATGGCATTACACAACCACAAACAGTGGGGAAAAAGTCAAAAATGTAGCCAAAACCAATAAAATCTAAGGCAATGATTGTCAGAGATTACTTTCCATTCTAAAGCCTAAAATTCTAAAAAAAAAAAATCCCTAAGATCAGGCCAAAACCAACACAAACCAATGCATCATATCCTTAAAAATCTTTCACATTCCTACAACATTACGCACAAATCACGAATCATTCCATCTCCAGTCAGTTCTGTCCAACTCTCCTCCAGTTAAGTCCAATATCTGTGGCTCGGCCCAAACCTCCGCCTCGTGTTTAGACATAAAACTAACGCAAAACTAACACTAAGAATCATAAATCCAGGCCCTAGAGCACATTTTTACTCCGCAGACATCAGGTGTTCGCCCCAGTTTTACCTCAGCCGTGTTTTATCATGTGTCGTTAGTCTCAGTTAAACATAGTAATTGGGACACTGCTCTTACTTTGTGGGATTTTATTAATTATGGGCAAAATCTATGTCAGTGTTTTTCCGATTACTGTTTAAGCTGCACTTTTTCTTCCTGCACCAATACATAAATAGATTTTGCAGCTGGAGAAATGGCTTAATGATGGCAAAGTAGTGTCTTGTTTTAGAAAAATGTAAGTTTTGAAAATCAAGACATCAAACTCATTTTATTTTGAATGTTTGTGTTCGCTAGCTATGCGCTGCGTTAGCTATGAACTTATTAAAAGTCAATTAAAGCTGGGGTACCTAACTTTTTTTTTGGTTTCATAAATGATCCATGTTTGTTCCAACAGAGTATTCAGTAAAATGTTCAGACCACAACACGCCGTTTTCATCTTATTGGAACATATGTGATCTTAAAAAAAAAAAACGTGTTAAGAACTATAAAGATAACCTTTTGAGATTGTTTAATGTTTATAATTTGAAAGTTGGGTACCCCAGCTTTAAAACGCTGCACTTCTGGGTCTGGGCTAAAGATGATAGAGACACAGAAAGACAAAAGTGCTGTTCATTAATACGTACTGTCCTATTCAGTTTCTCTCACCCCATTCTCTCGCCTCAGTCTCTCTCACCTCAATCTCCCTCAACAGTTTCTCACTTCAGTCTCTCACCTCAGTCTCTCTCGCCTTTGCCTCGCTCACCTCAGTCTCTCTCCCCTCAGTCTCTCGCCCCCTCAGTCTCTCGCCCCCTCAGTCTCTCGCCCCCTCAGTCTCTCTCCCCTCAGTCTCTCGCCCCCTCAGTCTCTCTCCCCTCAGTCTCTCTCCCCTCAGTCTCTCGCCCCCTCAGTCTCTCACCTCAGTCTCTCGCCCCCTCAGTCTCTCACCTCAGTCTCTCGCCCCCTCAGTCTCTCACCTCAGTCTCTCACCTCAGTCTCTCTCGCCTTTGCCTCGCTCACCTCAGTCTCTCTCCCCTCAGTCTCTCACCTCAGTCTCTCTCGCCTTTGCCTCGCTCACCTCAGTCTCTCTCCCCTCAGTCTCTCACCTCAGTCTCTCTCGCCTTTGCCTCGCTCACCTCAGTCTCTCTCCCCTCAGTCTCTCACCTCAGTCTCTCTCGCCTTTGCCTCGCCCCCTCAGTCTCTCGCCCCCTCAGTCTCTCGCCCCCTCAGTCTCTCGCCCCCTCAGTCTCTCGCCCCCTCAGTCTCTCGCCCCCTCAGTCTCTCGCCCCCTCAGTCTCTCTCCCCTCAGTCTCTCGCCCCCTCAGTCTCTCTCCCCTCAGTCTCTCGCCCCCTCAGTCTCTCTCCCCTCAGTCTCTCGCCCCCTCAGTCTCTCGCCCCCTCAGTCTCTCGCCCCCTCAGTCTCTCGCCCCCTCAGTCTCTCTCCCCTCAGTCTCTCTCCCCTCAGTCTCTCTCCCCTCAGTCTCTCACCTCAGTCTCTCTCGCCTTTGCCTCGCCCCCTCAGTCTCTCGCCCCCTCAGTCTCTCTCCCCTCAGTCTCTCGCCCCCTCAGTCTCTCGCCCCCTCAGTCTCTCGCCCCCTCAGTCTCTCGCCCCCTCAGTCTCTCGCCCCCTCAGTCTCTCGCCCCCTCAGTCTCTCGCCCCCTCAGTCTCTCGCCCCCTCAGTCTCTCGCCCCTCAGTCTCTCTCCCCTCAGTCTCTCGCCCCCTCAGTCTCCCCCTCAGTCCCCTCAGTCTCTCGCCCCCTCAGTCTCTCTCCCCTCAGTCTCTCGCCCCCTCAGTCTCTCGCCCCCTCAGTCTCTCGCCCCCTCAGTCTCTCTCCCCTCAGTCTCTCTCCCCTCAGTCTCTCTCCCCTCAGTCTCTCTCCCCTCAGTCTCTCACCTCAGTCTCTCTCGCCTTTGCCTCGCCCCCTCAGTCTCTCGCCCCCTCAGTCTCTCTCCCCTCAGTCTCTCGCCCCCTCAGTCTCTCGCCCCCTCAGTCTCTCGCCCCCTCAGTCTCTCGCCCCTCAGTCTCTCTCCCCTCAGTCTCTCGCCCCCTCAGTCTCTCTCCCCTCAGTCTCTCGCCCCCTCAGTCTCTCTCCCCTCAGTCTCTCGCCCCCTCAGTCTCTCGCCCCCTCAGTCTCTCGCCCCCTCAGTCTCTCTCCCCTCAGTCTCTCTCCCCTCAGTCTCTCGCCCCCTCAGTCTCTCTCCCCTCAGTCTCTCGCCCCCTCAGTCTCTCGCCTCAGTCTCTCACCCAGTGTCCCTCCTGTCAATCTCTCTCTCCCCTCTGTCTCTCTCCCCTCAGTCTCTCGCCCCCTCAGTCTCTCTCCCCTCAGTCTCTCGCCTCAGTCTCTCACCCAGTGTCCCTCCTGTCAATCTCTCTCTCCCCTCTGTCTCTCGCCCCTCAGTCTCTCCTCCCCTCAGTCTCTCGCCCCCTCAGTCTCTCGCCCCCTCAGTCTCTCGCCCCCTCAGTCTCTCGCCCCCTCAGTCTCTCTCCCCTCAGTCTCTCGCCCCCTCAGTCTCTCTCCCCTCAGTCTCTCTCCCCTCAGTCTCTCTCCCCTCAGTCTCTCTCCCCTCAGTCTCTCTCCCCTCAGTCTCTCTCCCCTCAGTCTCTCTCCCCTCAGTCTCTCTCCCCTCAGTCTCTCGCCCCCTCAGTCTCTCGCCCCTCAGTCTCTCTCCCCTCAGTCTCTCGCCCCCTCAGTCTCTCGCCCCCTCAGTCTCTCGCCCCCTCAGTCTCTCGCCCCCTCAGTCTCTCGCCTCAGTCTCTCACCTCAGTCTCTCACCCAGTGTCCCTCCTGTCAATCTCTCTCTCCCCTCAGTCTCTCTCCCCTCAGTCTCTCGCCCCCTCTGTCTCTCTCCCCTCTGTCTCTCTCCCCTCTGTCTCTCTCCCCTCAGTCTCTCTCCCCTCTGTCTCTCTCCCCTCTGTCTCTCTCCCTTCAGTCTCTTAATGTTAACGTTACCTTTGGCCTTGTAATTCTAGCCATTTCTGATCCAATCGATTTCATTTTTATTTGAACTAAATGCATAATGTAGAGAAGAATAAACAGATTTCTGTTCCTATAGTTCTGTGTCTGGACTTAACGTTGAAGAGATTGTAGAAAAGCAGAGGGATGTGTGTGTTTATCTGGTTTTGGAAATGGTTTTGGCTGAAATATAAACTTTTAATGATGCGATGATTGTGTTCTGTGGACTGTGGCGCGTTCGCTGCTGGAGGGAAATGTTTTAAATGTTCAATAAAATGACAAATGATAAACGAGTTGTCTCTGGATCGTTTTTCACGTCACTACAATATTGTCACGAATAAACGGTTTTGGCTTTTTTCACTCTCCGTGTGTTCCTAAGTGGAAGCTGCTGAAGGTTAGACGCAGTGGGGCAGCTTCTTTTCTCGCAAATTGAGGTAAAACTATTATTTTACCCACAGGGGTTCAGTTCCACCAAGACTAATCACACACACTTTAACAGGATTATTGTTTGTGTTTTAATTGTTGTTTGAAAGAGTCGTCATTTACTGCGCAAAATCACTGCATGTAAACATAAACATTCTACATTATTTTCTTATCCTTTTGGTCGTTCACTTTTTGAGGCACTGTATCTACTTGGAACTGAAATCTACCTTTTTGGGGCATATCCATTACTTGGTTTTAGGCACTTTTACCATCAAACAGAATGACAATTAAAATACTAGGCATTACAAAAAAAAGAAAAAATATTGGTATCAGCCTGAGATAACCATAATACATATGTAGAATACTAACAATCCATGAAGCGAATAAAGTCATGGTTTGGTTTTATTTAAAAATTCTCTGGAGGTTTAGAAGGTAATACTAGACTCTGAGATTGTGTGTTTGATACATAGGCTGCAAAGCATTATGGTTTTGTGCAAGTAAATGTGACAAGATTATGAGTTACTTACAAAGTCTCTCAGATAAAAATAAAAGAGCTGAATTGTGTTCCCTCCTGCTGAACTGGGCTGGAAAAGGGATTTTTTTTTCTAGGTAGTTTTAGATTTTGGGATTTCAGGTGAGCTCACTCAAATATGATCAGATTTCCATATGTTCTACAGTTTTGTACAGTGTAGACTTGTTCCCTCTTTTCCCACGGTCAGTCACGTGCAGCGTTAAGCAGTGGTTTTAGAAATTTCTTTTTGCACAACTGGGTCTGCATCTACACATCACAGAACACTGGTAAGAACTTCCTTTCACACTAACATATTCAATTATTGTATAAACACATTCATGAAAGAGAGGCCTGTCACAAAATGTTTGCCTTGGGCCCCAAAATGGCTAAGTGTGCTATACTGCTGGAGATATTGCAGTGTATTCAAAATGCCAGGTCAGCCCGAGTCCTGACCTGGAAGTCCTCAGGTCTCTGCACTGAGAGAATAGACTTTAAAGCAGCTCTGCTTCATTACAAGTCTCTCCATGGCCTCGCACCAAAGTACATCTGTGACATGTTAGTGCCATATGAACCAACTGGGACTCTGAGGAGCACAGGGACTGGCCTGCTAATGGGACTCTGAGGAGCACAGGGACTGGCCTCCTGCTGGAGCTGTCCCCCAAGTCAGAACAAGAAATTTTTGTTCTGAATTTGAAAGTTGACAATGTTCAAGTCCAGGTTCTGTTTAGCCGTGCATGCAACTGAAGGATTGTATCTTCTCTCTTTTTAATGAACTTTGATTATTAATTTGAATGCTTTGTAGTAATAGTAGTCATTTTAAGTACTTGGTGCTCTTATTGTAGTCATTTTAAGAAATGTTTTTTTTTGTATTTCCTTTTGCATGCCTTATTCTATTTTCTCTTATTTTGCCTCTCTTGTCTTGCCCATTTCTTTCTCTCTGGTCGTTCTAACACCGTTCTCTTTGTACGTCACTTTTCCCACTAGTTGACTCCAAAGTTGAGTCTTGTAGCGTCATTCTTGCACCACTCACAGTCGAAGCCCTGTCAGCTCGAAGCCTCGGCTCTGATTCTGGGCTCTCTCCTCTTCTCTTTTGCCCGTGATAGATTTAGTTCTTATCCCCTCGGCCCAAAGAGAAGCTGTCTGTCCTGTAATTGCCCCGATACCCCAGGGAAGTGTCCGCTAAAGAGGCCTCTGTCTCTGCTCTGTCTCTGTATCTGATGGCAGAGTGAAGGAAGAAGTGGAGAGCAGCTTTAGTTTGACTTCACTCTGGGCGTTTTTTCCCACATCTGCATCTATGGCTCTTATTTTCAGGTCACCACAGTCTATGGGTACGCCTCACCAAAGTGCTGTACAGACGAGTGAAAAACGGCAAAAAAGCCACAAAATATACACAAAATTGGTTCATATGCAAATAAAAATGATAACTTGTCTCCACTTGTTGAAGGTCAGAGAGAAAAAGTGCAGGGTTTTTACGTGATGCTTCTAATGCATGATTCAATAAATGTTCTTTTATATTTAGACCAATAATCTGTACCTTCCACTCCTTACATCTTCAGCCAAGTGGTTAGCCATGTTTCTAAGTGAAAGAATGATTTCTGGTTAGCACACTTCAAAATTATTTCTGACATTTTTACTTTTACAAGGATTTTTTTTTTTTTTTTTTATCATTTATCAAAAACTAATCCAAGTATCCTTTTGATATATATATTATCAACAATGGCTCGAGTCTTGACTAGAACCAGGAAGTAGGACCATATTAGTCCAGTTCTCAGGTCTCTGCACTGGTTTCCTGTGGCTCAGAGAATGTTCGAATCCAGGTTAAAAACAGTTTACTTTCTCTCTGTTTAATGTCCTGTGATTTTTTTAGGATTTGAATGCCTTGTGTGATTGTTTTTCTATCTCGTATTGTTCGGCATTTTGAGTTGCCTTGTGGATGAACTGTGCTATACTAATAAACTTGCCTTGCCAATGTATGTTCCGATTATTCTTTTTTTCACTTTCCACAACCATCAATAGAAAGTGTTTATTACTAGTGATTTGTTATCCTGTCCATCTCTTATATACTTACCTACAATAACTTTCAGAAACATAAACATCTAAAGTAAATATTCTCAAGATCATATTTTAAAGCCAAAAGGAACCCACAACCATTTACTGTCCAGTGTGAGTTCAGCAGAAGGCTTTTGTCATATCTGAAACAAATTGGGTTTTGTCTCCCTCTGCTGGCGGTGATAGGAGCTACATGAACTGTGGCAGGGACAAGATCAGCGGTAAGGCAAGTTTATTTGTATGGCACAGTTTATACACAAGGCAACGCAAAGTGCTGAACAAAACAAAACGGAAATAACAATATAAGGCATTACAATCATGTATAATCACTGTTTACTGTATGTGTATGTCCTGGAGGTTGAGACTTAAATGTATTATCTATTTATTTCAAACATGCAGTTTTAATTAAAAAAATCTTTGTGATATAATTTCTGCTGTAAATATGTGACAGGCTGCAGCCAAACATGGAAAAAGTCTGTCGAAAGGGATTTTGAGTCATTCTCATATTATGAAAGGTAGGTTATAAGCTTTCCAGAAATCTGATCATATTTGAAGAATCGGGAAACGATAAAATAATAATAAATAAAAAAAAAACAAAACAATAAAATACAGACTTTCATCTCTGTAAAGCCTTTTATTTATTTTTTTACTAATAAGATTGTTTTATAGTGAATTTTAGTTACTTTTTCAATTTGTAAAGGGAGAATTAAACAGCTGAAGACCCGCCCACGCTCACCCCTGCTGCTTTCTGATTGGCCAAAAGTAATCAAAACACCTGAGGCCATGTTTTAACTATTCTCCTTCAACAAACTAGTTTTAGATTTGTTATTGTTGATATTAGTATTCCTTGGATTACAAAAGGAATACTTAATGCCTGTAAAAAGAAAAACAATCTCTACAGAATGTTCCACTTCTGCTGTTTTAACTTTGATAAACAAAGATATAAGAAATACAAAAAATAAATTAACGGATATCATAAGAACAAGTAAACGGCTATACTATAAAAACAAACTGTATGAAAATAAAAAAAATATGAAAGGAACTTGGGATACTTTGAATAGCCTAATCAAATCAAAAATGGTGAAGATTATAATATTAGAAATATAGTAAATAAGTTTAATGATTACTTTGCAAATATTGGGTCTAAATTAGCTGCTGATATTCAAGACAATGAAGTTACAGAATCCCCTATTAAACAAAATTCTTGGTCTTCTTCCTCTCAGCAACAAATGAGCAGGAAGTAACACAAATCGTACAGAAATGTAAAGTCGTCCACTGACTGTCATGATATCAATATGACCGTGATTAAAAAAGTTATTCTGCATATTGTTAAATCCCTAACTTATGTAACTTATCTTTCCAGACCGGTTCTTTTCCAAATAAAATGAAAAAGTAATTCCATTGTTCAAAAATGAAAACAAACATGAATTTTCTAATTACAGACCCATCTCTCTATTGCCTCAGTTCTCAAAGATTCTCGAGAAGCTTTTCAATTCACGACTTGAAAAGTTTCTGGAGAAACATCATATAATAAATGAAGGCCAGTATGGTTTCAGATCCAAAAGAACAACATCAATGGCAGTAATTGAAGCAATTGAAGAAATCTCAAGTGCATTGGATCAGAAAAAGTATACAGTTGGTATTTTTGTTGATCTTCAAAAGGCTTTTGACACCATTAACCACTCAATACTACTAAAAAAGATGGAAAGATACGGAATTAGAGGACTGGCTGGGAAATGGATCAAAAGTTACTTAACAGGGAGGGTACAGTTTGTTAAAATGGATCAGTATTTTTCAGACACGGTTGGCATTACTTGCGGTGTCCCCCAGGGGTCAGTATTGGGTCCTAAACTGTTTAACATATATATGAATGACATTTTTAATACATCTAAGGTACTAAAACTAATTCTATTTGCTGACGACACAACTATCCTCTACAGTGGTGATGATTATAATGAGCTCGTAATCTCCGTAAACAAGGAACTACATCAAATAAAAAAGT